TTATGTAACAGAGGTGGTTTTAACTATTCATCGATGTAAACTGTTGCATAATTTAAATCTGGAACAACGAAGTTAGTTAATTGTACAATAATGTCTATCAAACTGTGTGAAAATTATTTTGTTACAATACGGTACACTTACAAGACGTTATATATACGCGTTTGAGGTTTTTATATGAGAAAATCAAATTTTATGCGTAACAACCCGGTATTTGCTAAATTTAATTTATTTATGTTATTACTAATATAATATTGTAGCAAATGGTAGTATACTTTGGCACCTATCTTTAAATATTATTACAAAAGAAATATTGAAAATTCGTAAATTTTAAATCTTAATTGTGGACTTATGTAAATATCATATACTATATTAAATTGACTGCAATCAGAAAAATTTGTTTATGCCATTAATGAAATAAAATAAGAGCTTTATTAAATATTTGCGATTTAATTTATCAAATAAAAGATGATTATATTTTGGCTTAAAAATTTGTATACTGTTTGGAAATATAGCTGTTCAAATAAATTACCTACGATAGTATAATTCGTTGACTCTGTGTCATAGAAATAACATTCATACTGTGTCCTATATTTGCAACGTATTGACGTTTAACGTACACATTCGTCCTTGCAATAGTTTGCGAACACATCACTTTCTTATCTAAGAACTAAACAATTGATAAAGACGTGCCGTAGGATTAACTGCAACCTACTTCTGCAATGCCGACACGAAACAATTCAAACAAAAGGTCTGCTTATGGTTTCAACATTACCTAAGTCAGCATAAATGTTTAATTACTTCTTGCTTCTATGAAGTTGATTTTATTATCATAAAGTTTGCATATTTGATTATAGGTTATTAAAAAGAAATATTATTTGTAGACTTATGTTGGTAATAATAAATTAAATACTTCTTCTAAATACTCGAAACAAATAATAAATAGATTAGAAAATTGGATACATTATACTAAGTAAATTTTACGTTCATTTTACGTTTATATTAACAATAGGCTATAAATAATATTATGTATTAAATGTTATATATTAAAAATTAACAATATGACGCTAATAGTTTGTATATATTAATTGAAAAATTGATTTTTATTTACAAAATGAAATTTTTCAAAAATTGACTATGTTAAAGAAAGATACACACAATAAATGTGAGTGCGATACAACGTAAAAAATGTTGAAGCAGATGTTAATATTAAAAAACTGAATACATCAACAAGTGAATAAATGTTATCGACATTGTTAATTACGAGTAAATTGTTTATGAATACAAAGTTCACGCTAAATTAATGTTATCTACGTAAAATATTGGTTTTCTTATATTTTCTTTAAAAAACACCACTTTTATAATAAATGATCCAAATGTTCCATAAATATCCTAGACAAAATTATTTTCAGTTTCAGTAATATTATTTACTTTATTCTATGTTGTACTTATGCAAATGCAACAAGTTTATAAAATTTATAATCGAATTATGATAATTACCAATTTAACCTTCGCGTTAATCGTGCATAACCACAATTCTTTGTCTAAACTTAAAAACTTATATTTACATTAATACATAAAACCAAAAGGATCTTCGAGATACAGAACAGTTCAAAGACCAGCTACCACCATAAATCTAAACCTCACTGTTCCCATTTCCCTAAATAAATCATTCGAATCTTCAAACAATTCACCGAGTCCATTACTCAACGCACCAAAAAAATAAACAAACCACTTCCAACCTCCACCAATAATAGATTTACTGCCACCATTTATCTATTATTTTATATAAAAACATGTTATCCCCAAAGGCTAACACTGTTTCCAATTATTACCATAATTTGAGTACAACAATACATTTTGAACATATTTTTCACAAATTATACATTCTAAATACATTTCCCAACTTCTGTATTGCCATTCATATTTGGATAACAAAGCCTCTGAAGAAAATATTCAACCAATTTTATATATAAAACCAGCCAATATAATAACAGGACAGCGAATTTCCATACATTTATATAAAAC